CACCAAGTTCATCGCCTCTTCCACCGCCCTCACCACCCCCACCACCTCCTCCTGCCTACAAACCTCTACCAAGTCCATCGCCTCCTCCACCACCCCCACCACCTCCTCCTGTCTACAAACCTCCACCAAGTCCACCACCCCCTCCTGTCTACAAACCTCCACCAAGTCCAGTGCCTCCTCCACCAAGCCCACCGCCCGCTCCAGTCTACAAACCTCCATCAAGCCCACCGCCTCCTCCACCAAACCCACCGCCTACTCCCGTCTATAAACCTCCATCAATCCCACCACCTCCTCCACCAAGCCCACCACCTAGTCCCATCTACAAACCTCCACCCCAAAGCTCACCAGGGTATGGAAATCCTCCACCTTCTGGTTACTATTAAATGAATAATAAAACTACTTGTAATAGCTGGAGTTGTATTACGTATGTTTCTAAAAGAAAGAAACATGTGATATAAAGTGGAATAATCCAGCATTATTTGTTTTTAAGCGTGTGTTTCTCCTATTAACTTGTTCCTACTTTGTTTAATGAAATTTCATATAGCCTTTGAGTTATGTTATTTCATAGTTGGAAGTGGTTGATATGTTCATTAATAAAAGGAGCAACAAAAACGATTTGTGACCATTTCGTGTGTCATTTGCACTGTTTTCTCTTTTTGGTGTTGGCTTTTAATTTATGCCTCTTACTATAAATAACTTACTTACGCCATGAAAGTTTATATTATAATAATTCACTAAGTTAAGTTCGAATATGATTTTAGTTTCTAAAGAATTTATGGCTCACTAGACATAAGTTCTATTGTTATAATACTTTTATCATAACTTTAAAATATATAGCAAATGTAGAAAAAGTAAAAATAAATAAATTAAAATTGAGAAAATACTGAAGTGGAACCCATATACATTACCAATTCATGTCCAGCAAATTACTCCAATAAAATATTGTACAATGATGATGATGTGGGCCCTTATTAAGGAAAAATGTAACTTTAACCACTTCATTTTTGAAATCAAACATTAAGTATAATATTTTATTATTTTTACATGTCTATAAATATAAAAATGAAGTACAATTTTTGATGAAGAGATACCTTCTTTGTCATAATACTATTATTGTGAGCGTAAATTTTTACTTGTCCATTATATTAAACGTAATTGTTCAATAATATTTATTTAGCTTAAAAAATTAAAAGATAATTTATTTTTTTGTGTCTAATTTACCATTGATATTAAATACTAGTATTCAATATATTTCCCAAGACATTAAAATTAATATATTTAAAGGATAATATAGTAATATTATCCCTATTATTTATTATTTCTTAAAATGTGTGTTAAGTTAATAATGGAGAAATATTATTAGACGGAAAAAATATAATTTAGGGTAAAAGGTTGACATTTAGAAGTATGAGTTCTAAATTAAATTCATTTACTTTTTATATACTAACCGTGTAAATATTTAACACTATCAAATCACTTAAAAATAATTGTAGGTTACCTATAATAACAAATAGAATCAGTATAGTAAATAATAAAAGATTCCAAGTGAAGCTCTATTTTTATTTTAAAGCATGATTTATATGATTTGTACATCGAGCTGTCCTTACTTTGTGCATCGATTTTGTGACGTATGCGCATAGCAAAGACAAGTAAACACCCTTTAATGAGCTGTCCTAATACAGTGTTTTTTCCACCATTGATATTTGTCTGTGTCATAATTAATAAGGTATAAGTATTAAAAATAATAACACTAACATATATTATCGTATAATTTTATAAGTAAAATCGAAATAAAATATACGTAGAATTTACGCATATATGATATAAATTTGACGAATTTAGATTATAAACCATAATTAAAATATTGAAAATCGAAAATCGCTCTGTTTCACTTTGGTGCGTTTATATAGATTAGTTGGAACTTAGTGCATCGAATCGTCTCTAGATCATATATTGCATGGCCTATTTGAGAGTGACACTCTCAACAAAAAAAATTCCATATCCAAAGTTCTAACACGACTACGTGAGACCTCGAATAAGAGTGAAGTAGTCTCACTACTGCAGCACAATCCATGTTGGTATAAGTATATGTGATGAAATAAATTTGTAGCAACTTGCTTCTTCTCTCGTTATTTTAAATCAATTTTGTTTCCATTTTAGCTTTCTATAATATTTTTTTATCCTCTCAAAGTTTCTATAGACACACTTAAAACATAAAATGTTCTTTATTGGAATTATAGATTGGTTTGGTTAAATGAATTAGTTACATTACCAAATGGAAAAAAAAATTTCATAAGATAACTCTCAGGTCGATCACATAATTTTGAATTTCTAAAAAGAGTAGAATAAGAGAGTGTTTGAATTGGCTTAAAAGTTGGTCAAGCCTACTTTTAGGTCAGTTTTTTATTTCTGCAGTGTTTGACAATATAAAAAATAACTTAGAAAAGGTCAAAAATGACTTAAAATAAGTTACGAAGTGTTTGGCAAGGTAAAAAATGACTTAAAATAAGTCAGAAACCAAAAGTAGGTCTCCCCCTACTTTTTATTTTTTGACTTAAAAGTCATTTCAATTTGACTTTTTATTTTTGACTTAAAAGTTACTTCTTTTAAGCCAATCCTAACGGGCTCTAAAAGAGTCCATAGACTCTTTTTGAGTTTAAAAAATTTAAATAAGTGTTTATACACACAAAATAATATATTTTAAGCAAATTTGATATGAAGGAAAATATTTCGTAGAATTAAAAATTAATTAACTTTATGAACAAATAAAATTAGTACTTTATGAACCATACATCTTTATTTTAGATTAAAATTTAGAAAAAAATTTACTTGCAAGTACAAAAAAAAAAAGAAAAGGCTTGATTGAGACATCACTGGAAAAAACAGAAAAAACAATTTAAAAAAAGTTTGACTTGTTCAAAATAAGAAATGATTATTAATGAGATAAAAAAATGGTACAAATAAACCTAAATATTATTATTGGGACAACTAATTAAAACCGTGTGGAAACTTTTCAATCAAATAAAAATAAAATTCTCAATTCACACGTTAACTCTATTGTCCCATTTTGTGGAACAATTACTATAAATATATAGCAAATACAAAACCAAAAACAAAACAAGAAAAAAAATAGTTTTTTTTAATTTAAAAGAACAAAAAAAGGATAAAAATGGTGGAAATTATTTCACCAGGATTTAGATTTTATCCAACAGAAGAAGAATTAATATCTTTTTATTTACATAAAAAGCTTGAAGGAAAAAGGCCAGAGCTTGATAGAGTAATTCCAGTTGTTACTATTTATGATTTTGATCCATGGCATCTTCCAAGTACGTATAACTTCGATAGTATCAGTATAGTTTAACATGTTATATTGATTTAATTATCGTTTTTATTAAAGTTATTTATTAGTGTTCTATATGTTTCAGTTTATGTGACATCTTTCAAGTATACACAATACACTTCTTCTAGTTCTTGTTCATTTCTTCATCTTCACATTTTTCATGATTATAATTTTGGAGTTTAAGTTATATGCATCGATCGATAGTATTAGTGTCGTTTTATATCAAGTTAGTGCTTATTGTAGAAAATATTTACTTGGGATTAGTGCTCCATGTATTTCAGTTTATGTGGCATTTTCGACCAAGTATACACAAACTATCTTCTTCTACTTCTTTCTTTATCTTCATTCTTGATCACCATTTTAATAAACCAATTTTCATGGTTACAATTTTGAATTTAAGTTATATACACTAATGGTATTATCACTGTAATTTAATATGTTACATAAAGTTATCATTTTATGCATATTATAGAGATTTAAACTCCCCTCCGTCAGAACTTATATAACAGTACTTGACTGAGCATAAAATTTGAGAAAATAAAAAGTTAACCAAACACAAAATTGTTCATGTTCTCTTTGAAACCGGTTACAATAACAACATTTCTCTATAACACTATATCTGAACAAACGACGTTGTTGTATAAACATGTTCGACTGTATCACATAAATTAGGACAGATAGAAAATATACCTTATTATAAATGCCTTGATTATGCTATCGACTTTTATTTTTCTATATTGTCAGTGCATAGAACTTAAACAACGTGTAACATTTTTTTATGTAGAATTTCATGGGGAATTGTGCATGGGAGATACAGAACAATGGTTTTTCTTTGTGCCAAGACAAGAAAGAGAAGCTAGAGGAGGAAGACCATGTAGAACAACAAATTGTGGTTATTGGAAAGCAACTGGTTCACCAAGTTATGTTTATTCATCAAATAGCAAAGTTATTGGAGTTAAAAAAAGTATGGTATTTTATAAAGGAAAAGCACCTACTGGTAAAAAAACTAAGTGGAAAATGAATGAATATAGAGCTATTGAAGAAGAAGTTAATTCAACTATTTCTATTCCTAAGGTAATATTATTTTTTACTGTCGGTACTTTTCTTTCTACGATATTTCTTGCATTTCCTTTAAACTTGTTTGGTAAAAAAATGATTTTCTTAAGTCGAAGGTCTATAGAATTTAACATTTCTACTCTATAGGAATAAGGATAAAATCTGTGTTACTCCAAACCTTACTTTTGAATAATTATATTAAATATATTATTGTTGGGCTATAATATTTGAAAAGGAAACTAATTCTTTTCTATATCTTCAATAAAGATACTTGTAATCTTCACCATGGATATATATTGCATACTAATCTTTATAACAAAAATAATAATTCCAACCTCAAACAAATTAAGATTGAATATATGAATTATATACATTACATGAAATTTTAATTTATCCTTTTTTTTCTTATGATATATTTAACAAAATTAAGTTTTAAAAAAATCTTATTTATTACATATATAATAATAATAATAATAATAATAATAATAAAACAATATTGTTTTTTCATGTGTCAATTTAGGCTATGTACTTTATTTAAATAAGCTCAATTTCCAGATGAGATAAATTTGAACAGGTCAAAGTTAAGTTAATAAATTAATAGGTCGTTATTTTACTCAAACTTACATGAGTTAGACATGTTTGTAATTTAATGAGCTAATTTTGTCACTCGTTTATTACAGTTAAGGCACGAAATGAGTTTATGTCGAATTTACGTCATATCGGGAAGTTTTCGAGCGTTCGATCGGAGACCAATTGCAACAATAACAAGGGAACCATCAAAATCAACTATAAATCAAGGTGGAATTTCTATGGAAAATGTTACTAAAATGGAGGCAATAAGTTCCCCTGATGAAAGCTTAGCTATGGAAGAACAAGATTATGTTAATCTTCATCATAATGATCAAATCCCTATTATTAATCAAGAAATTAACATCAACTCACACAACAACAAGAGGGTTAAAAGTAATCTTCATGATGAGACTCTAA